GGGTCATAACTCCGAAATCTACTAAAAATTTAATACCGGCATCCAATTCTACGCCAAAGAATTAGTCTTGAGCAGTTTTCACTTTAACTCAAACTTATTTAACAGCTGAGATACAGACATGTTCAAAAGTGTCACAATAACGAGAAACGCCCTGTAACTCAGAAACTAATGAAGATAGCAAATTTCTGATTTGACAGTCGAGTTTGCCATGAAAATCGAGCTCGAGAACGTGGTGTCAGATTTATCATATCTTTAGTAGTTTCTGAGATACCCTGAAATCCCATCGAAAATGGACCAGCCTGTACACAAGCTCAGTTCTGTAGTTCAAACGATTTCTAAGGTATTGGCAAAAATCTGAAAAAAAGTTTTGACACCGTGTATCTCGAAAACGAAAGCCCGGAGAGAAAAGTTAATTAAGTTAAAGTTTTTTTTGGTAAACAGAAAGGTGCCCAACAAAATTGTTATTATTTCTTTTCAGTGATTTTTATCAACTGAAAAATGTCTTGTCAATCAAAAATTCCTATTGAAAAAGTTATAGATTTTTCTCAAAAAATAGAGTTGGAAATGTTTGACAAATGGTTGATTCTACAGAGTAAATGTATAGAAAAAAAATTGTGTAACATTTAATGGATCCCTTTTAATTTTTTTTGTTTATTTAACTAATTTTTAAATTTATTCATAGTTTACAGAATATCCAAAAAATAAAGAAAAAAACATAAACTGCCACAAATAAACAATTTCAAACAACATCCATTTCTTTTGTTCCCAGGATTGAAAAAATTCAATGCACCTCGCACCTATAAAAATAAAAAATATTTTAACTGTACGGAGTTTTTTTTAATATATGTTGATTAATTTAAAAATAATTATTTAAATATAATTTTAAACTTCTAGAAAGCTGCATCAAAAGAGATGAAATATACAGGGTGTTTATAAATAAATGCGAAATATTGTAGGGGGTGGTTCTCTTGTGAAAAAAGATCATATAAATGTAGGTCGAAATATTCTTCGTTTCCGAGATACAGAGTGCAGAATGTGTACAGAATTTTAATTATTTATTTATTTTTAATTATTTCAGTTTTAAAGATATTGAAAAAATAAATAATGAAAAAATGCTAATTTGACATTTTAAGGAGATGGTTGTATTTTATTTAGAAATATTGACAGCAATCTACTAGATAATGTGTCGATAGAAATTAAAAATACACAATTTGCAATAAAATACGTTTTATTTTTTTCCCCAAAAATGGCACATCCTACGAGAAAAATTGAAGAGACAAATTTCATTCAGAATTGATGGCGGATTTCTAAAAAAATATCAAAACGGGAAAAAGTCAGTGGCGTATCATTTTTTTATTAAAAAAGGTTGTGACATTCTTGCACAAACACCGCTGGTGCAAGTAGAAATATTCGTATCACCCCAAAAAATGTAGATTTATCCCTCCAAAGCGTTTTTAAATTTCAAGTCAATATCTTTAAAACTCTGAAATAATTAATAAAAATAAATAAAAAATTAAAATTTAAACATTCTGTGTCTCGGAAACGAAGCATAATTTCGACCTACGTTTTTATGAACTTTTTTTACAAAATAACTTCGGCAACCACCTTCTAAAATATTTCGCACTTATTTACAAACGCCCTGTATTGCACTGAATTTTTTAAATGACAATTATTTTTTAATTAAGTACTTTTTAATTTTTCAGCCGTATCAGCAGCAGCAATTTTACGCTTCAGTATGGCCTCCGTCTGCGACAGGTTACTTTGATATAAGTAGCGTGTTCCAAGTAAACGGGCTTGCCCCACAGACATTCAAACATCCCCCGTACCGCTCTAATCAGACCAGGCCCCGCAAGCAGTCGAGGGGCGCGTTGCAGAGCAACAGCGATCAGTCTTCACAGGGTTCCTCTCAAGCCGGCAGCGTGAGCAGCGGGCAGGGCAGCTCAAGGCCATCGACTTCTCAACAGGCCCCCAGGTCTGTCTCGCCTCAAAGTAATAACAACAAGACCAGTATTACTTCGAAGGCGCCGACTTTGGAGGGAGCCATCCCAAGGACTGGTCTTATACATAATATTGTTAGTGATAGTCACGATGCTCACGCAGCGAGTAGTAGTAGTATTCCTATCGGTAAGTGTTAAGCATATTAAAATTTTTTTACATTCCAGTTTATTTTTGAAATATTTTCAACGAAAAAAAGAACTAAACCGTTTTAAGCTGGTACTGATAGATATTGAAAAAAACAGAAATTAATTATAGGAGGAAGGACCCAAAAATAACCGGACAGCATTTTTAAAAAATACAGAATAAATTTTTTTCGTATTACAAACGTTAGTCACCTTTGAAGTACCTTCCATTAATACTAATACATTGTTCAAACAAACATTTTTTCTACTACGTGAAACATCTTTCGTACCCGTCCTCTTCGTTGCCTTTCAGCGCTGCCTTTGATTTTCTATTTTCCTCTGGAATGTCTGAAAAACATTCCCCTTTCAGCTCCCTTTTCAACTGGAGGAACAAAAAAAATCACAGGGTGCCAGATCAGGTGAGTAGGGTGGGTGAGGAGTGTCATGAGGTTTTTCGTCAAAATCATGCATCTGGAAAAACCAGGCTCCACTCCGCCACGAATCAGCCGTTTCAAACGAGCAATCTAGCGCAACACCTTCAAAACTCTCAGGTAGAAGATTTGGTTCACTGTCTGAGGCTCAGGGACGTACTCTTAGTGAACAATGACACAAATGTCGAAAAAACATATCAACATTGTCTTCACAGCCGATTTGACTTGCTGGGTGTTTTTTGGGCAAGGGGAGTTTGTGGCCTTCCATTACAACGAATGTTGCTTTATTTTAGGGTTGTACCTATAACATCACTATTTATTGCCGGTGACGATTTTATCAAGGAAGTTCTCGTCTACTTCCAAGTGCTCCAACAAGTAATGGCAAGCAGCAACACGAGCCTAGGGTTACCAGATCTATTTCATGACAGACTCAGAGACATGACTCGTTTGTATAATTGGTGCCTAAAAAAAAAGGTTATGCAAATGCAATCAAGAAATCTGGGAGACAAATTGTAATTGAAATATCTACTTCATGACAAACCCGAAGATCTGGATGGATTCCGGGAGGGGGGGCGTTGTATATAAAAAAAAAAGTTGGACTCAGGAAATGTGGGAAATGTTTTCAAAGAAATCACGATTTTTCCGCAACAAAAAAAAAACCGGCAAAATTACATGTCAACCCGGAGCCCGAAGATGTATCTACCATCAAAACCCGGAGATTTAGCAACCCTACCCGAGCCGCATTTTGATCAGAAATCAACAAGAGGGGAATGAATTTCGCTGAGATTTTACCGAGCTGAAAACAAAATTTCAGTACCGCACGCTGTTCTCGACTATTAACTATCTAAAAAAATTGAAAATGTTGAAATACCAACAACATATTGTATTATTTATGTCTTCAAACAATTTTATTTAATTGATGGTAAATTTAGCATTGTCCCATTCCAAAAGATCTTCAAAATGCCATGTTGTAGTAATACTATTTCTCCCTTTCGCGATTGTAATATCAATGATTAATAGAAGGTGTATATAATAAATTAAAACTACCTAAATCACACCAAATTCCGCATTGCTGCTCTGCACTGCTCGGCAATTTGTCAACCACTTGTCAACAGCTGAGATTTATTGCCCAGTGGCCCAATGCAACTGTCTTTGTTTTCCTTTACCCGCGCTCGTATTCTTCAACTGGGCATATACATTTCTACCACCTCCACATTTAGTTCGACTCGACCTGTATATGGATACGGCTAAATAAATATGGGAACAAGTTTTTCAAATATTTCAATGCCGAGTTGCTGCGTCAGCGACCGAACCTGGTACATACTGTCAACTTCTTGTTCTTGTAAGAAAACATGTTAAATTCGGAAGAATGATAAAAAGTGCTTTATTGAAACTGTGCTCCATCCGCTTGTTATACATTTTTCCCATCTTTCTGGCAATTTGTGAATACCACACCAGTAAAAATCTTCCCCTGTTGCTGGGAACCATTCATCGAGCCATTTTTTTACATTTTCGTACGAATCGAAGCGCTGCTCAGCAAGTGCGTGACCCATCGATGCAAACAAGTGATAATCGGAAGGAGCCAACTCTGGTGAGTAAGCTGCATGGGGTAAAACTTCCCAGCTGATTGCTATGTGCTATGTATCGTGAAAAATGACTTCGCCTTTTTCGATATTCTAGCGAACGTTTCAAATCGGTCAATTGTTGTTGGTAACGTTTAGTATTAACCGTTTTTAACAGCTCATAATAGACCATGCCCCTCTGGTTCCACCAAAGAGTATCGTCATTCTGTCAAAGCGATTTGGTCTTGCGGTCAATGTCAATGGTGCGCCATGATTTTTTGCGCTTGGGATTCTGAAAATAAATCCACTTTTCTTCTCCTGTAACTATACGATGCAAAAACGACTTCCTTTTGTACCGAGCTCCATTTTCATTTGCCTGTCGTTCAACTTGTGGTACCCATCTACCGGTCTTCTGAGTCTTTCCCATCTCTTGTTTGGATTGAAAACAGCTTGTTGAGTAACGCCCAATTGCTCCGCAAGTTGATTTTGTCTTTGCGAATCATCTTTGTCCAACAAGTCAATTTCACATCGTTGTATTTTTTTGGCAGTTTTCCACGTTCCTTGTCTGCAACATCGAAGTCACCAGTTTTGAAACGTTGAAATCATCATCCACACGTATCTTGAGATGGAGCATGTTCACCATAAGCTTCTCGAAGTAATCGGTAGATTCAGCAGCAGTTTTCTTCAAATTAACACAAAAAATTATTACTGTCTGCGAATGCCCTTTCTTCGGGCACACAACACTATGCACACACTTCCAATTTGTCACTGGTGCACATCTGACACTTGTTGATGACACAATAAAATGGCGCAGTGTCAGATCTTTATAGCACAAATTGCGTTGGCATGCCATCTGTTGTCTGAAATCCGCATTTCATATTTGTACACCTGGTAGTCATTGCAGAAACTCGCTACAACCACCTCATGCGATGCCAGTTGGCAGACTGGCTCAGGAGGGGTTATGTAACACCCATCTAGCCCGAACTAGAAGAGTGGCACTTGCAGCGAACTTTGTACGGTAATTTTTGGGTCCTCCCTCATACATCGTACATACCACTAAAGTTTATATTTTGATATCTAGTATATGTATTTAAAATCACAGACCTTTCAGAATATAAATTTACCTTTCTTGACATTGTGTTAAAAACTCGCTTTGTATGAAGAGGGTCAAACTTTCATAAATACGTATTCAGCAAACGGCCTTGTTTATGTTAAAGTTATCGTGCTTGTATATGAAATCGCCACATTGCATGACTTTCTTGCAGGCCTACCCATTCTTCATCCTGACGTGTCCTTAGATATGTACAGATTTCCCCAAGCTCCACCTCTGATTAAAGAGGTGGTACCTCCTCGTCACCGTAGGAAAAAACGTGATGACGAGAACCCCAGCAGCAGTCAACCACTCCAGACACAAACTAGGGAACCCGTCAATTCTAGAGGAGCTCAATTCGATTTAGTGGAGGAGGCGTTTCCTCCACTTCCAGGTAGTTAATGAATAACTGTTTCATTTTCGAAAATTTGCGATATTTACAAAATAGAGAATTTGGAAAAAAATTGATACTGATCTGTATGACACTAATCTTTGTACGCGGGGAGCGCAAATGGCTCCACCTGTCGTGTTGACTCTCAACTGTGCCATTCAAATGACTACAGTAGGAAGCAACCTGCTATATTGCAGGTACTTGTTGCACGACTGCCACCCGTAGAGGGCGAAGACAGTGTTTTAATTGTCAGTGTTGCAAGAAACATCTACTTCGGTAGGGGCATATAGCCCTCCGAGTAGTTGTTTCTTGCAACACTGACAATTAAAACATTGTCTTGCCCTGTATGGGTGGCAGTCGTGCAACAAGTACCTGCAATATAGCAGGTCGCTTCCTCCTATAGCCATTTGAATGGCACAGTTGGGAATCAGTACGACGGAAAACAGCTAGATTGTTCATCGGTCGTGTCACCTATAACACACCGATGAGGACTAATAAGTCCGAAACCGGTCTGTGCCTGGTCGGTTAAACTGACGAACGATCCTAACTGTTGCACCAGGTGTTGCAAGTATAATTCAATGCCGGAGTAGTTGTTTCTTGCAACACTGACAATTGATACTAATCTTGTTTTTCTTCCGGCTAGGGCTGGATGCCGGTACACAACCGCCATCGAAACAGTTGCTGGTAGCGAATTCAACTGTGGAACCGCCTCAGTCGCAAGTGGCGATCGAGTCTCAACCGCAAGGACATTGGGGAGAGAATAGACTAGCAGATGTTGTTAAGGGCACTGCAAAATCCAAGGGCAACGGCAGCAGTAAGGAGTCGAGCAGCGGGGGAGACAACGACTCCCCCAGAGCTATATCCCCTCAACATTTTCCACAGTGCAATCAGACCATGAGGCAGACTTCGATAACCGGCCCTCCGGAATGTAAGGACGCTACGACCGAGAGCGGAGATATGCAACTTAGTACCGTTACACTTACCCCACCGAGTTCACCTGAAAAGTGAGTATTTCCTCGATTTTATTATGTTGTGACTGTGTGCAGGGAGTTGTTTTGCGGCAAACTTTTTGAGCTGATTCCTTTCGTAAATTTCTTCAAAAAAACAGCTTTCGATCAATTCCTCATTGAAGATACGATTTTAAATTTGGTATGGTACTGTTTCTCTGTAGCCTGGTTGCTATGAGGGTCGTTCAATAAGTCCTTAGAAAATCCAGGAGATGGCGCTCGTAGGATAGAAAATGATTTGTTTTTAGTAAGCATCGTTATTCACGAGAAAGCTATCAAATTCTCAGTTAAATCAATCACATGGTTTCATTTTTATTGTCGATTGAAGCAAGAAACTTTTGTTTAATTGTAAAAATGGAAAAAAGTGAGTTTCGAGCAATGTGACAACGACGCGGCGGTTAACAGGAGGTACTACGCTGTCCAGCAACCAGCAATATGCAATTCAGTTGGTATCTGGAATTTAACCGTGTCGGAGTGTTTTTTGCGTACCAGTATTTCCTTTTCTTGAGGTGTTTCCCCCTTGCTTTTTTAAAATGTTTACCATCATGAGTATCGCAATATGTTATTAATTTATGGGGAGGCTCGCCGCAATTCTGCTAATGTGTAGAATTTACTGTATGCCAGCGAGGTTGAAACAGTCGAAGACTTGCGAGAACGAATTTTTGCCACTGATCAAATAAGGATGAATTAGTAGTGAGTGCGAAAGTTGAATTCGAAGATGTCATGCGTGCATTGAAAATGGTGGTGGACATTTTGAGCATATGTTGTAGTTTGTTTTGTACTTGTGTTTAAAAATTAACTGAATTTTGCTTCTTGGTAAGTACCTAAATTATTTTTAATACGTATGATTATTTGGACTACGTGAATCTTAAGAGTACTTTTACATATTTTTCAAATTTATAATCCGATTAAAAGTTAAGTTCCTGTTTTAAGAGATTCATAATTGCTAAAACTGAAGCTAAAATTTAAGCACAACACTATCTTTTTACTACAAAATCGATACATTTTATTTATTTAAAAACCGGAAAACAATTGTCTTGAAATTTACTAAATGTTTCACAATAATAGTTGTTTACATTTTTGTTATTCCGTAGGACAAGTCTGCCACTTGCACACATGGTGTGCATCAACTGTGTAGCATTAGATTAAGCGCTGTTGTCACATTGTGATGAAACTCCCCAATATTAATACTCGCGGAAAAAATTTATTTCGAGCGAAAAAATAAAAAATTACGAATTTGTTTAAAAAAAATTGTTTAAACAATTCCTGACCATTAGTAACGTCTGGCAACATGCGGATATGTTTCAAGGGTAATTTTTTAGTAACATTATGAAAATAATCGAATGAGAATCATGTTCCTAGTGGGAGCGACGATACAGCCTGGACTAAACCTATATTTAAAAGGATGTCTAGTGGAAGTGACTACTCCCATAACGATTGACAAAATCCACGATATGATTTTGAGCGATCGACGAATCAAAGTGCACGAAATAGTTGAAGCCCCAGGCATATCGCAGGGTACAATATTTTCAATTTTGTACGAAAAATTGGGTGTGAAAATAATTTTGGCAAGATGCGTGCACGTTTGCTCTCAGTGAAGAGTAAAAGCAATCGTGCAGTCGACTCGGAGGCTCTTTTGGCGCTTTTTTCGTCGCAATCCTGACGAGTTTCTGCGTCGATACATATGAAACATGGATACACTACTACACTTTAGAGACAAAGGAACAGTCAAAACAGTGGGTTTTTGACGGGGAACGGGTTCCAATGATGGGAAAGATGGTGAAATCAGCCAGCAAGGTGATGGCCACAGGTTTTTTAGGGTGCAGGCGGAATGATCTACACTGATTATTTGGAAAAAGGAAAAACGATAACTGGAGAGTATTATGCGTCGTTATTGAACCAGTTGAGCAAAGAAATCAAGAAAAAACATCCTCATTTGAAAAGAAAAAAATCATCTTCCAATCTTCCATCAAGACAATGCACGGGTGCATAACTATGCAGTTTCAATGGCCAAAGTCATGGAATTAAAGTTCGAATTATTACAACATCCACCGTATTCACTGGATTTGGCCCCCAGTGACTTTTTATTATTTCAAAACTTAATAAAATGGCTCAGCGGACAACGGTTTGTGTCGAACAAGGTTATTGCCCAAACAGATGCCTATTTTGAGGACCTTCTGCAATATTACTTTCTAGATGGCTTATAAAAGAGAAAAATGCTTGGAAATATAGAATTAAAGATTATGTTGCAAATGAAAGAAGTCTACCTAAAATAATTTGTTTTTCTATCTTTTTCTAAGGACTTTTTGAACGACTCTTGTACATACATTTGAAATCGCCTTTTGCAGTTTGATGCCACAATTTTCTTTTTCTAATTGTTTAGAGGAGTCATTAGTAGTTTAAGGAGACGAAACAGGTAAATTATTAAATTTCTTTCATATTTTGTAATATTCCCTTTACTAACAGTATTTTAAAATGTTTATTTTTGATTGACGTAAAAAGTAACATCATTTTTCATATATTCGACTTGGACAATTCTGATAAAATTCTAAAAAAAAAAAAAACCGGGAAAAAATTCTTCTTTCCTCTTGATTCTGAATTTTCTCTTTCATTTCTCAAATACTGTCTAAAATTTGGTCAAAAATGGCCAAAATTTGAAAATCTCAGACAAAGTGGTGAAATTTCAAGAAATAACATCGGGAAAAATTGTGACCTTCCTCATTTTCAATTCTCAATATTTTTGTACCGTCACATTCGCTTCTTTGCCCTAAATTAATCAATTATTTTATTCTTGGTCCCAATTGGGTTTATCTTGAATGATTATAAATTTGGTCAAAACTGGCAAGTCGAAAATTTGAAAAATGTGTTCTTTGACCAATTCTAATAATTCTTTGTCTCGGGATTTTACGAAAAAACCCACCGTTTTCGAGTAAAACTATCATAAAAATCTGATGCCACCATTTTTCGTTTCTGCCGCTATTTTGTTTTTTTAGGATCGATTAGAGATTTTATACACCTTAGCGATAGTCTTCAAAACACGGTATAAAAATTGAAAATAGGAAAAAATTGGGAATATGTGTGCTCTGAATTTTTTTTTTTTCAAATTCTGTGGGCGTCATCTGGAAGAACATCCCCGAAAACAAAAAGTCTAGTAGGTTTGATTCAATTCCTCACCAGGGTGCAATGAGCCCGTGTTGTAATATGCCTCCTCGAAAATCCGATTTTGATCAATAAGACATATTATGTATATTAATTTTTAAACCCGAACAATTAAAAAAAAATTGAAGAGAAAAAGTATTTAAGTGTCGAACCGCTTGACCACCTCCATGTAAACGAGTAAATTTGCTGCGACGGCAACTTTTGGTCTAGATCTTATCATCTGTTGCAGATTAGTTCCTGCTTTGCCAATAAAATGTACCATGGCTGACAAGTCGACCAAAACCGATGATGCTCTTCTAAACGGTGACTTAGAAACTTGCCCTACAACGACAAACGCAGCTACCATGACCACTGTTGTGCCAACCGAAGCCCCACCACGACCAACACAAGTAACCGCTAGTACTAGTATGAAAACTCATCTACCAGTGCATAGGCAGGACTCTAGATCTGACACGTTTAAGCAGCCCTCATCGCCACCCCCCATTTTGGTATTTTGATCAATATTTATTCATTATACGATTATTGATTATCACCCTATTTTACCAGTAAATTGCAGGTAAAATAATGTATAGCCAATTCTTAAACACGTTTTCTTTTTGTTTTAAACAAATGAAAAAATTTTACTTCAGGGGGCTCTGTAGCGGATAGGCACCCGGCAATATATTTTTATAGATTTTATTACACAGTTTGTCTAAATATGAGTCGGTGCACAAATAACGGACTTTCCTCCATTCTAACACAGATTTTCTATAAAATGGAGTTAGTTTCAAGCTCACATTGTTTTTTGGTGGAAAGAAATTTGTAATTTACGATGCCGCTTGTGGCAAATTTCAAATTTCTTTACAACAAAAAGTAATTTGAGTTTGAAACCAACTCTATTTTATAGAAAATGTGCTTTAGAATGGGGGAAAGTCTGTTATTTGTGCACTGATTCATATTTAGACAAACTGTGTAATAAAATCTATAAAAATGTATTGCCGGTTGCCTATTTGCTATAGAGCCCGCTTCATATAAATATATCTATTTCTTTTTGAAAGTTACAAGTTGAAATGTTAGTCTTACCGTTATAAGAACTGTTTAAGAAAAGAATCGTGCCTCTGTGATGAGATATTTGTTTTGCGTAGGACTATTCGGGCAATCCTCCCCGAATGAGTTACGCGCAAGTGGCGCAGCATCACAAGGAGGCTCATGCACAAAAGGAGAGGCACACCAAGGAGAAACAGCCCGAATTGGCCACAGCTCCGGTTGCAGGGAAAACGACTTCAATTACCAATCCCAGTAATAATAACATTAACACCGTACGCATCCAGACAGAACGTGATAATCGAGGAGATCTTAGGGGTAAGTTTCAGCTGTATGTGTGAATTAAAAAAAAAAATCGGTTAATCGTGTTCCAAATATTGATCGTTATCGATATTCCATTAAAAAATCGAAATTTATTTTTAAATGCGAAATTTGCCTTGAGACAATATTTAGATCTTATTACACAGGTCAACATTTGATCTAGGGATAATCACCGGAAGTGACTAAGGTATATAGGGTTTTTTTGGGTCGCTGATCACGAATCCGAGGTCGGTTAAGCTCCACATTAGGTTCAAGGTGATTTGAAGGTCAAATCAAGAAATGAACTCCAAAAAATCTGAAAAAATTCATGCTTATGTTTAGAGGTCACTGAAGCCGAATCTGAGGTTTGTTTACCCCTACGATACACCCTAGAGGTCATTCAAGGTCATCTCAAGGTCATTCATGAAGTATTTTGGATAGAAAAGTTAAAATTGGTCTGAAAAATCTGAAAAAATTCGTCTAAATGTTTTTGAGGTCACTGAACGCGAATCCAAGGTTATTTAATAAAAATACTGATCAACTCGGGAACGTTATCCTTGTCATGGTATAGATTTTCGTATGTTTCGTTGTTTGTATCCCTCCTAAAACCAGTTGCGTATTCTGATACACTTGCGTTTTAGACTTTTATTATTTTTTTGTCTGCCATATTTAGGTAAAAGAGCAGTAATCAAGATGAGGAATGGCCAGGGCTAACACAAGCCACTTGCGTAACTGAAAAGACATAAAATGCTGAAAGAATTTATGACTTAATGATATAATGCATGCTTGACTTCTTTTGCTAATACAACAACCTGTGGTTTCTAATTAAATTTTGAGTCAAGTAAATCCCTTGCGATCCATTTTGACCATGTCAACGTATGGGATAGTCATATGCCAACTTTCTTAATCAGAATAGTAGGACGAAAGTAAACCATCAGAAAAAGAGACTACATCTCCATACAAACGTGTAGATGGTTATATGTACAGATGGAAACACTTTGAAGACCTTTAATAACTTCCAGATCAACTCAGTGACCCCGAAAACATTTTAATATACTTTTTTAATTTTTTTACACAACTTTTTTTAAATTTAACCTTCAAATCACCTTGAACCTGACGTGATGGAGCTTAAATAACCTTGGATTCACGTTCAGTGACCTCAAAAACATTCAGACGAATTACTTCAGATTTTTCAGACTGATTTTAACTTTTCTATCCAAAATACTTCATGAGTGACCTTGACTGACCTCTAGGGTGTATCGTAGGGGTAAACAAACCTCGGATTCGGGTTCAGTGACCTCTAAAACATAAGTATGAATTTTTTCAAATTTATTGGAGGTCATTTCTTGATTTGACCTTCAAATCACGTTGAACCTGATGTGGAGCTTAAACGACCTCGGATTCGTGATCAGCGACCCAAAAAACCCCTATATATAGCATAGTCACTTCTGACGATTGTCCCTAGATCAAATGTTGACCTGTGTTATTTTTTAGTTTTTTTAACATTTTCGTGTCTTAGGTAATCAAAGAATAATTATACAGAGCCTTCATAAATGTTTACAAGCCACAATGCACGACTGGTACTTGTAATGAAAAACCCCAAATATCGGCATCACCAATATTGATGATTCGTTTACAGTGAACAGTGACAAACCGTTACACCTACGAGCGAATGTGACTGCCGGTTGGTTGAATACAATCACAATCTCGTGGAAAATTATACCAATCACAGCTGGTGAAACAGAATGTTGTTTTAGTTAAATTTACCGAAGTTTAACTGCCAGCGTAATGGAAGTAAAATTACGGTTCCAAACAAAATGATGTGCGTTTATGTACAAGATGCAACTTTGAATAAGGGCCAAATTTATGCAGAATTACTTACCTTTTACCTTTAGAAACGCATCATAAGTTTGTTTCAAATTCCGTCGTAAAAATTGAATTTATTTTTACCTTTCAACGTCCCACAAGTTTTTTCATATTTACTGAGAAGTTTGACAATGAAGACACACAAACACATCGTACTGTCGCTAAACACTGTAAAAAATCACTATAAATACTACTTCAGCGTGCCGCAGAGCGCTTCAAATTCAACAAGCCTCTCGAGTTTGGCTTCAAAGACACCATTTTTTACTATTTATGAATAAATATATACTGTGTGTCCAAAAAGTCTGGAAACATCTGAATAATTTCCCAGGTAAATTATTTTTGAAGAATGTTGAAGGTCATTCTTGTAGTAACTTTTGAGTATGTCAATGGTGATCTTGGATTTGACCTTGATGATGACCTTCAAGATTATTTCAAGGTCACCTCCATTATTTTAAATGGAAACCCCCTTTTTCGACGTCGGCAATCTAAAGAGTGGGAAATTTTACATCAAAAACCCCAAGGTCATAAATCAGGGTTGACTTTGAAGGTCATTCAAAGGTTATTTAAATTTGAGGGCTGAATATCTCCGAAGAACGCAGTTGATGAGATGTAAATAGCACAGAGCTCACTTTAGTTATCTTTTGATTGCCGGCGTCACGAGGAGATTATAAAGGTCATTGTCAAGGTCAAATCCAGGGTCACCATTGTCAAAAGTTACTACAAGAATGACTTTAACATTTTTCAGACTTTTTGGACACCCGATATATATCGAACATTTAAATACATAGTTCATCCTTGAATGTTATTTTACTCAACTTTTTCCTGCCATTCGAAAAAAAGGAAATCACAAAAATGTGTTTATTTTTGCATTTTACCATGGTGTTATAGTCTTTCCGATTTCGTTGAAAATGTGTAAAAACGCCTAGCAATAAAATTTAATGAATTTCATAGGTGTCTAAAAAAGTTTTCTGCTAAAGGCAAAAAATAATAATTTGTTTATAATGTGTAGAAAATTTCTGTTATATGTTCATTTGGCCAACAACATATTTTAATTAATTATGTCCTTAAACAATTTTATTATATTTATGATAATGTTTGGTTGACATATCAAAAAACATTTATATTTTCATTAAAATATATTGCTGCACTGCTAGGCAATTTGTTAACAACTGAAATTTCTGGCCGGTCGCCCAGTGCGGCTGTGTTTGTGCGCCGTTTACCCGCGCGCGGATTCTTCAACTGGGCGTATACATTTGTACCACCTTCACTTTCAGTTCGACCAGACCTGTATATGGGTATGGCTAAATAAATATGGGAACAAATTCTTCAAATATTTCAATGCCGAGTTATGTTACCGAACCCGTTACATACTGCCTAGCTCTTTGGTCTTCAATTGAGATTGGAAAGACTATATCACTTAAATTTAAAAAAAAAATTGATTTCTGTAGTTTCAAAGAAGTGAAATTTCTAATTATTGATTGGTTCATGTATAAATCACGGTGTTCCTCAACCATGCAAAAGTGGTTCGAAAATGGATCCAAAATCAGCTAACGCAGAAAGTTTCTATATTGTTCGTAGATGAAAAAAATAGCAAATTGGAAATCCTAAGTGATTGGTTTCGCAAGTTATGGACGCTTTTGTATTTATGCTATACGCATTCATTAAGAGCAAAGTAGAGCATTTGAGCACACACGTATAATCCGTTTTTTAACTCCCAAGTCAAACAAATTAAGCATGTATTTATTAGTTATTGTTGATAATATTTTTTTTTCGGAAATTTATTGATATGTAGATAAATGATTAAGTTGGCTTAATGAATAATCCAAAATTTAAATGATTTCGTTTTTACAGCTTATCTCAAAATGCTTCAGGTAATTGTTATGGAATTCTCTAAATATATGACAATTTCAAGCTTCTTTTTATACAGCTAGATGGCACATGCAAATCTGCAATAGGAAAATTCATGTCGAAGTAATATATACACCAGAGGAAAAGCCATCAAACCACTTCGAGTTGCATTTTTGAAACTTATGTTATCAAAATGACTCCTCCGTGTTCTCATCATGATAATAGAAAAAAAATGTGTGGGCCATGTGGTCGAAAAATTATTGTTGGCAAAATAAAGCCAGAAAAATTTTTAATAAGTAAATCTACTGAAAAACTCTTAAAAAAGTTTATATCTATGGATTTTGATTTAAACGATGAAAAATATCCTTTGAGTATATGTAGGTCTTGTTATTTGACACTTCTTGATGTTGAAAAATAAATTTTTAATTTGCAAGTGGTTTCAGTAAGCTTGTTCTGAAAATCATGATTTTAAAGATTTCAGTCAATTTTTCATTTTGTAATCTTTTTTTGAGATATTTGGTAAAAACAAAAAAAAATTTTGTCAGATTAAAGCATCAATTGATTTCCGAAAAAAAAAATATCGACAATAACTAATAAATACATGCTCAATTTGTTTGGCTTGGAGTTTAAAAACGGATTGTACGTGTGTGCTCAAATGCTCTACTTTGCTCTTCATGAATGCATATAGCATAAATATAGGGTGGTCCAACCAAAACGCATGATGTTAATTGTAAATAAAACAAAAAAGTTTTCAGAGAATTATCTTGATATTTTTTATTATGAACAAAATATCGGCCAAATGCTCGCCACGGCTTCGGTGGCATACCTCTATCCGATGGTCCATATTTTCAATGACTGAGACCTATTTGAGGTTCAATGTCGTTAATGTGCCGAATTATCTCATCATTAGCTCTTGAATTGTTCTTGGTTTATTGACGTACACTTTTTCTTTTAAATATCCCCAAAGAAAGAAGTCCAACGGTGTCAAATCACATGATCGTGGCGGCCAATTAACATCGCCACGACGTGAGATAACACGGCTGTGTGGCAAGTGGCACCATCCTGTTGGAACCACATATCGTCCAGGTCCATATCCTCAATTTCTGGCCACAAGAAGTGGTAACTGCTTGGCCGACCTCATTTTCGAAGAAGTATGGTCCGATGACGCCGCCAGTCCATAAACCGCACCAAACAGTCACTCTTTGTGGATGCATCGGCTTTTCAACAATGACTCATGGATTCTCGTTTGCCCAAATGCGGCAATTCTGCTTGTTAACGAATCCACTGAGGTGAAAGTGTGCCTCGTCGCTGAAGATGATTTTCTTTGTAAAGTCACCATTCACTTCTGTCTGTTCAACCAGCCATTCGGCGTATTGACGACGCTTGAAATGGTCAGTAGGCTTCAGCTCTTGAGTCAATTGAACCTTGTAAGCGTATAAATTCAAATATTCAAAATTCGCATCAGTGATGTTCGTGAGATGTTCAATTGTTGGGCATGACGACGAGTCGAGGTTGACGGCTCTTCTGCCACACTACCGCTAACAACAGCAGTGTTTTCCGCAGAACAAACTGGGCGAGCATGCACAGGTGTTTTCACATTTCCTACAGACCCGGTTTGCTGAAATTTGTGCACAATTTTCCCAATTGTGGACACATTTGGTCGATTATGCTGACCAAAAAAATCACGAAATGCATTTTGATTTGAACGCCCATTTTCGTAAAAGGCTTAAACAATCTTAACGCGCTGTTCAATTGTGTACCTCTCCATGGTTGAATTTGTGAAACACTGAAACAAAGAAATGTCAAATTAAATTGGTCAAAAACCTTGACGTTAAGGTGTGACTCACAATTAACATCGCGCATTATGGTTGAACCACTCTTTACAAAAGCGTCCATAACTTGTGAAACCAATCACTTAGGATTTCCAATTTGCCATTTTTTTCATCTACAAACAATATAGAAACTTTCTGCGTTAGCTGATTTTGGATCCATTTTCGGACCACTTTTGTATGCTTGAGGAACACCGTGAAATTCATTAAATTAACTTTTGCTGTAAAATTTTCTGTCATAAATAATGAATTTTGCCTGTCGCCACAAAAATAATTGCCAACAATGTATTCAGATAATGGTCCACAGAGGGGAGAAGTTTTACTCAACCAGCAGAGACACAACGGACCAAACCGTGGCGGAGCTCGAGTGGGACATGACAGATCCCAGCGCAGGAGACCCGAGGCGAGGACGTCCCAACTGCGCGATTTCGTGACTCCCCGATCACCCAAGTAGCACGAAATGAGGATATGGTAATCCGAGTGCGCACGGGCGTCGTGAAATGAACCCGCCGGTTTTGTAATAATCTGTGCGACCGGTGGCGTCTCGTGTGAGCTCATACTGCCCCAAAAAACTATGGCATTTAAGTGTACACGTATTTTATGATTTCACTTGTGCGAGTCATATGTTCCTAGCCCACCATAAAGCACTGTTGAATATTGATATGTTTAAAGTGGATATTAGTGCTGTACACTGCAAGTTGAGTTCGCGTTGTACGTCTGTGATCGGCGGCGCGCTCTAATGCCCTTCTGTCGACGCGCGGCTTTGTTGAACTCGCTGTCTCTCCATGTTGTACAGGCTAATGTTAAAAATTATTTTTTGACAAATAATTACCATTTATGTATAAGCTGTATAGGGGGAGTCTAGGTCTAGTGTATATTGTTGTTGGGTTTTAACTTAGCTACGCATTCCACTGTTGCTCAGTCACCTTCGAGGAATATTTTAACCAATGAAAAATTTGTTAACACGGTACGATGATTATGATGGTAGCGGATGAGACGTGTGTTGAATGATTCACGGAAAAACAAACAAAAAAAATGTATATTTTAATTTCTACCTTTAAGAGCTGGAACTCCCGATTCACGGTGTGAACTGTACGTTATGTGTGTTATTTTAAATTTTTGTCGGTATCGTCAGAGGCGTAACGTATTTATAACTGCAGTATATACGATTTTAGTTGTTTCTTTTCAGTTTGCGTTGACGGACGTCGGAATGTATAAATTTATATTTATTATGACTTAGACTAATTAATTAATATTTAAGTAACAGCTATCTCTCGCGGAATTGAAAGGAAGGTTAATTTGCAAAACTCCATCCCAATTTTTATATAACGATACAGATTTAGTTGTATTGTTACTTATAGGCTGTGTATGTACATAACGAACCTACAGTGTCGGAGCAACGGCTTGGTCTGCGTGATATTTCAGTTATCAGTATGCAACTTACTTTAAGACTGTTAGCTGATTATATTTTAGATTGTTACTTTTGGTCGATCGATTCTGATGTGCTTTCGGCGCACGCACTCCGGCTTGGCACGTCTCACATACCAGACCGACGGCCGTGTAAATTCGACCGCTTAGGAAAATTTTCGATTGTTGCGCAAATTTAATTGTCACGTTGCTGGTTACAGCTGATCTTTTTAAACTTTGTGTTTCAGTGAAGTGTACATTTTTTCGAGGGCACAGGCAGCAATGATTAGGTAACGTCTTAATCGACTCCTCGAATAATCCAAGAATAATTTAAAGTGGTTTAATTTCGACACGTTCAGGGATTTCGAGGAGGTACGCCAAAAGTAGTTCAAATGTTTTCACCTTGATTTTTGAAAAAAGTTGAACATTGGCAATTATCTCGATATCTTAATTCCTTTAAGAGGGCTCTACAGCGAATAGCCAACCATCAATACATTTTTATAGAATTTATTACACAGTTTGTCTAAATATGAATCGATGCACAAATAACGGACTTTCCTCCATTCTATCGCAGATTTTCTATAAAATGGAGTTAGTTTGAAACTCGAATTACTTTTTGTTGTAATGAAATTTGATATTTGTCTCGTAAATTTCAAATTTCTTTACAACAAAAAGTTGAGTTTCAAACTAAGTCCATTTTATAGAAAATCTGGGATAGAATGGAGGAAAGTCCGTTATTTGTGCATCGATTCATATTTAGACAAACTGTGTAATAAAATCTATAAAAATTATTGCTAGTTGCCTATTTCTGGTTTCTCACAAAGTAAAAAATTTAGGGCGTGGTACTACTCACAAAAATAATACTAAAGTTCTTAGAACATTTTTTTTTTTGTTGAAAACTCTTTGTTGAAGCGACACGTGACAACTGTTTTTTAGTGCTTTTCCAAACAAAATATAGAGTTTTTGTCTCGAAAACGGTTAATGTGTAATTCTTTTCAATATCTTTAATATTCCGCTGATTTGTTGAAAAATAACAAATATTAAAGTTATGACCAATTTTTTAGTCATTGAGGGCGACTTAAGCCTTTAGTTCTTCACAATTGATAACATTTTTTTTGTAGGTGTAGTTTGTTCCTAATAAATATTTTATCAAATTGGATTAGCCGAAAAAAGTTATATCAAATTGTAATTAAAAAAAATTACGTAATGGGTTCTGTAGCAAGTAGGCAACCAACAATACATTTTTATGGATTTTATTACACAGTTTTTGTAAATATGAATTAATGCACAAATAACAGACTTTCCCCCATTTTAAAGCAGATTTTCTATGAAATGGACTTAGTTTGAAACTCGCATTACTTTTTGGTGTAAAGAAATTTGTAATTTACGATACATATTTCAAATTTCTTTACAACAAAAGGTAATTTGAGTTTCAAATTAACTCCATTTTATAGAAAATGTGCGCTAGAATGGGGGAAAGTCTGTTATTTGTGCATTAATTTGTATTTAGACAAACTGTAATAAAATCTATAAAAAATGTACTATTGGTTGCCTATTTAATAATATATGTATGTAGGGTCATTTAAACAAAATAAAACTTTGGGTCATACTCATAAGTTATAACTGAAAAGACTGAGTTTTAGAGAAATATCACATGCCGTTGGACTATAGAAAAAAAAAAAAAAATTCTAAAAAAAATTAAGATTTCCAAAAATAAAAAAAGATAAATAGTTGCACATGTTTGTTGATATGAACAATTCAGTAACATGGTCAGGTACTTTTTAAAACAATATATCTAAAATAAATTTTTATTTGGATTATTTTTCTGAAATTTAAAAATTTGATGAAACAAAGTATTGCGAAGTTTACTGTATTTGAGATTACAAAAAATTGTCAAAAATAGCCGTTATCTTTGATCAATTCATCAATTATTGTCATAGTTTTCCTTGAAAATAGAGCCCGTGACGTTTGAACTACTTTTTTGTTTATTTCCTCATTTAAAACAAGAATTCCTCCAAAAACTTTGAAATTGGCCTACCCTACACATTGAGACATATAATTATGTTAGGTAACTGAATTTTTTACTGAATTAATTTAATTTTTTTCTATTTTTTTTTCTCCCGGCCAAAGTATTACATTATGATTTTTATTTATAGATTTTTTTTATGGAACATACAAAAAAAATTGCATGGCAAGAAATGAATGTCACATAGTAGTTTTGCAAAAAAATATATTAGCTTTATGGAAATCATCGCATAAATTAAATGAAACCAAAAAAATCACGAATTGCTAACAATTGCAAATTGTATTCTAGTTGCTAATAAATGATAGGATTGTAGCTATAAATTGAAATTTAAAAAAAAAATTTAAAAATTAATCTTTTCTCATTTGAATTTTTATATCGAATTTAGTTCGATTTTCGATTTTATTTTTCAAAAAAATTTTCAATTAAATTCTTCAATTAGTTGAAAGTTTTTCAATTAAATGAAATCATTCCGATAACTCGAGTATTGGAATGTGAGTGACTGAAAAGTTGGTTATTTTTTGCATTCTGTTTAAAAAATGCTGTTTATATTCAATTTGAGTTACGGGTCATGGTTTTAATAATAGCATTATTTTTAATAAATTTCCTAAAATCATAATTATTCAGTTTAAGAGGGCTCTATAGCAAATAGGCGACCGGCAATACATTTTTATAAATTATACACAGCTTGTTTAAATATGAATTAATGCACAAATAACAGACTTTCCCCCATTTTAACACAAATTTTCTGTAATATGGACATAGTTTGAAACTCAAATAACTTTTTGGTGTAAAGAAATTTGTAATTTACGATACAAATTTCAAATTTCTTTACAAGAAAAAGTAATTTGAGTTTCAAACTAATTCCATTTTATAGAAAATCTGCGTTAAAATGGGGGAAAGTCTGTTATTTGTGCATCGATTCATATTTAGACAAACTGTGTAATAAAATCTATAAAAACATATTACTGGTTGCCTATTTTCAATAGAGCCCTCTTAAGTTCCCTTTAATTATTAATTTTTTTTTTGCTTTGAAATTTTCCTTCTCTCAGTCTAAATTAAGTTTCACTAATGAAAAAAAAAGCATACAAGATATAAAAAATGGCCAAACAAAGCACCTATGTTTAATTCGCCTTCAGCTTTTCGCAATCGTGCAGAAAAGGAGAAAGTTTAAAAAAAGCACGATATGCTGCTTTGTCGACGTATCAATTTAATCAGTAAAATAATTTTTTTGGAGCAGCTTGGAAAATGTGTACATAAAAATTAATTTAGGGGTTTAAGGAATTAAGTTGTACCTCTCATTTGTTATTTTAAAAACAGTTTATGCACGTGACGTATTTTAAGGGATATCAGTAAATAAACCAATTTGGAATTTTAATTAATCGGAGAAGAAAAAATTATGTGATTGTCCCATAAAATGTCGCTAAACGCGAACCGGGCGAGCTATGAACTCGATAGAAAAGGTCTCGTATGTTTGACACAAGTGGAGTGCGTTTTTAGCACATTTTTATGTATATTTACCCTAATTATTAGTTACAATCTGCTATGTTTATTTTTGTGTGCAAGTTTCTATTATTATAATAATTATTATTCTTATTATATTTGTTCTGCTTGCAGGGGTGTTACACTTTTATTGGTAATGCTCAATATTTTAACACGGTAACGATAACTGCAGAAATCCGGTAGTAACGATACTGGTCATATTTTAATCTGGGGGTTAATGTGTAACTTTTTAGAGTTTATAATTTTTTTTTTGTTCGATAATTTTAACAGACTGGATTTTAGACAGTGGTCTCCCTCTTCGTTTATTTTGGATCCGTATGATAAAAATTTGCACGCTGAAATTACTGTATAATTTTGAAATTATAGAAGTTTAATTTTTTTTTTCTAGTCTAACATTTGTATGTATATTTGTTTTTCGATACGTATGTTAAGTTTGAGATGATGGAGCAGGTGATGGGGTTTTTACTTAGAACTTAGGTATAATTTCGCATTAAGATATTAAATATTTGTAGAACTCGTCACCTCATGTTGTTATGTTAAGCACCTTGTCTAAAGTCCAATTTTTTTCACCCCTGCTTTATTTATATGGTTTTTGAGCTGTACTGATTAAGCTTCTGATGTTGCCCATTAAAATTGTTATAAAAAGGAGCCGATTTTCATTAAATTATACGTACACCTGGTTATAGTCCAGTCGGAATGCTTATCATTAGGTTTAAGGTAAAAATTGTGATTTTGCAGCAATGCTATTTCCAATGTTAATGTGATTTTTATTATGTATCAACCTTGAAGTTAACTACGCCCGCCTTTGTCGTCGGTAAGTACTTAATAGAATTTATTAACTCACCTTTTCGACCGTAAAAACTGCATTTTTCCCATCTCTCCCTTACCGTAGCAATTCTGTTGTAAAACTACACGATTTGACTTTAAGTACTGGAAATATTCGGTATTTGCTTATTCATTAGCATAATAATAATGTTTCAGACAAAAATGTAAGGATTTTTCCCTTGGCTGGTGACCTTGACTTTGACCTTCAAGTCATTTGAAGGTCAAGTTATGTTATTTAAATGGAAACCCCTATTTTTTATTCCGGATCTGGAAAGAGCGGGAAATTTTACGTCCAAATACGGTCTTGATCATGACTTTGGCAATGACCTTCAAGGTCAAATGAGGGTCGAGTTCCAACAGTCCCAGTACAGCAGAAAAACTTTCGAAGAATACATTTTTGGAATAAATGTTTCAGACAAAAGTAAGATTTTTCCCTGGCTGTCTGATGGTGACCTTGTCTTTGACCTTCAAGGTCATTTGAAGGTCAAGTTAAGATTTTTAAATGGGAACCCTTATTTTTTATTGCGGATTTGGAAAGAGCAGGAAATTTTACGTTTAACTATGACCTTGACCAATTCTTTGACCATGAGCTTGAGGGTCAAATGTGGCTCGAGTTCCAAAAGTCCCGGTACGGCAGTACTCCCGACCAATTAATGCAAGGTAGCGTTTAGTCTCGACCAATTAAGACAAGGTGGTGTGTATACCCGGCCAATTAAGGCAAGGTAGCGTGTAGTCTGTCTAGGAATCTACCAAAATGTCAATAGAGAACATTTTGACCACAGGTTGTAAGCCTTGTTTTAACTGGCCGGGCTATCTTCTTGCCTTAACTGACTGGGATCGCTAGCTACCCTACAGTGACTGAAATTTTTTAAAATTCTTGAAAAAATCTTTAAAATAACCTTCAAATACTGGTTCAAGGTCAAGAACTTGATTATGGTCATATTCGTACATTTGTTTTTCCGTTCTTCCTAACTTGTCAAAAAAATAATAGTTAATGTGAATAAATTAACCTGACTTTGACATGATCTTGAGGGTCATTGTCAAAGTCGTAGTCAAGATCGTACCTGAAGGTTAAATGTCGGCTCTTTCCAAATCCGTAATAAAAGATAGGGGTTACCAATGAAAAAACAACTTTGACATTGGAATGACCTTGAGGGTCATTGTCAAAGTCATGGTCAATACCGTATTTGGATGTAAAAATTCCTGTTCTTT